GTGTGTTTGGAGGGGTGGTGGCTTTCTTCTGAAGTGTTGTTGTGCCAAAACACGTCTTCAAGTCTTCAGCCAAGCTTAACCGCATACATTTTTTCTCTTTGGGTTTTCTATTTTACAGGAGGTTACATTTCTGGGAACGTTTAGTGGCCACATCTGCCCATTTTGAAATTTGTAAGAGTTTCTGGATTTTCATACTACATGATGAATGTTACCAGCCATATTAATTGACATGTTTGACTCCTGGTAATAAATCTTTGCAGATCTCATTTTATCATCCTCTTGGGTCACCCCTAAAGCTACAAAATGGTAATTGCTTCAAAACTAAGCGAATGCTAGAGATTTTTGGGGGCAGTTTTTTCTCAACAGTCAAAATCAGCATCAGTTTAACAATGGGTTTGGAATAAGTCCTTATACAAATGGCAGAATGTGCGTTGCAGCTATACACTCAGAAATTTGGGTTTAAAACAGTGGTGGGATTCAAAAATAATTACTACCAGTTCTGTGGGTGTGACTTTGTGAGCGTGGCTTTGTGGGCGTGGCAGGGGAAGGATACTGCAAAAATCCTATTCCCTCCCCACTCCTGGGGGAAGGTTACTGCAAAATCCCCATTCCCTCCCCACCCCACTAACCTGCTTTCCAGATCCGTTCTCATGTTCAGGGCAACAGAAGAAGATCAGTTGGGAGGCTGGGAGGCAGCGGGGGCCATCCTATTTGACGCTTCTCCGAACTACTGAAAAGTTCCACTACCGGTTCTCCAGAACCGGTCAGAACTGGCTGAATGCCACCTCTGGTTCAAAACCCACTGTTTAGGCTGAGGGAGAACTTGCCAGTGTGGGGCTTCTGGCCCTATATACTATAGAGGTATAAATGTTGGACGCCATGTTCATCTTCAGCCATGGACGTTCTCTGCCTGACCTTGGAGCAATTACCTCATCCTTTTGAAGGGAGATTTCACAAAAGAAGACTTGTGCTCCAGGAGTTAAAATGGAATAGAAAAGGGTTCAGATTGAAAGGAGCCAGTCCTTAAATTTTAAATTACAATTTTGGAGTGATTTTCTTTACTTTCCATCCAGGAAACACAGCTGGATAAGAGAAGCAACCAGCTTGTTGGAGAAACGGTGAGGTAGGTCCCTTCCCAGGCATGTCTTCTTCCACAAACACATTTTTTCTTCTAGATAAAAACAGCTGTAATGATGCCATCTGCAAGGCTGCAATTCCTTGTGGTACAAGTCAATTTCTCACCGTATAATAGTTCTCTGAAATCTCTAAGCTTAATCGCTTCTCTGACAAATGCCAGACATAAATACTGGCAAGTATTTCTGAAATGAATAAATGTTTCACAAGCCATCAGTCTCAGACAGTAAGCGGGAATTGTGCGTGAAACAATACATAACATAATTTATTTAACCGAGACTACATAAAAGCAACAAACCTGTTTAATGAGGGGCAGGAAACAAAGGCCCAAATATACTCATTTTCCTCAAATATTAATCCTCTCTTCCTCTCTGTTAGGCTATTTTTTCTATCTCTTTGCAATCATCCAGGGGCCACTCATATTTTTGAAGTCCAAATAAGGTAGCCTTATTCATGGGGAACAGAAAGACCAGTCATTATTTTTCAGTACATAGTAATAACTTCTTCCTTGACCTAGAAGTGAAGGTTTCACATCTTGGTCTGTATTTGGTTTTCAAATTATTTGTAGTTGGACTGATCTGTGAATTTAACTGGCGTTGACTATATTGTAGGTAGCAGTGGTGGGTTTCAAAAATTGTTCGAACCTACTCTGTGGGTATGGCCTCCTTTGTGGGAGTGGCTTGCCACCCATGTGACCAGATGGGAGTGGCTTGCTGCCCATGTGACTGGATATGAAGATGCCAACGACACTTGTCAGAACCACCTTAAATTACCTCACACACAGCACTGGCATGCATAAGAATATGATGTAAACTTGTTTTTTAAAAGCATATTTGGTTTGCATTAAAACAACTTCAACAG